CTTTTTATGTTTTTTGCAGTTATTTTGTGACTATGTGCTCACAGAGATTTATCACTATAACTTCATTTATGTCACCGCCAAGCTGTCCCCTCCAAACATAGGTGGACGCTGCCTCTAAATAATTCAATCAAACATCTGGAACTACAGCATCTGCAGCCTCCCTCCTCCTCCTCTCCTGTTGAGGACGGTGTTGCATGAGTCCACCAGAGAGCAGTAGCGATCCATTTAAACAGGCCTGCTTGTGCCAGCCGCCCCCCCAGGGGGATGGAGAAACCAGCTGAGAGCAAGTCAGGGGAACTAAAACTTGATTAAGTGACTGTTGAGCAAACAGAAACTGTCCTGACCTCCAGTCTTGAGCCGTATGCAGAGAGGAGGCAGCGTGGAACAGCCAGCTGGCCTCCTGCAGCGCTGCAGCAGGGATTTTAGAAAACAGCTTCCTGAGTGGAGCCAAATCCACTCGTGTTGGACATTTCTGATGTTAAAAAATGTTTTAATTATTTTGCATGTACTTGACTTAGTCATTTAATTACATTTATTGTCAATTGCAAAAAAGCTGCTTTGCTGGAAATTAACAGATTATGCACTGATAAAGTTAACAATTAGAGAATTACAGTGTGATGTGTCCATTTTAGAAGGATGTTAAGCATTTTTACTTCACTGTATTTGTCTTGCAGGTATAGTTAGAAGTGGCCTATAATCTGCACTTATGAAACACTATAGAATATATTTGGCTTCATAAAATTCTAGGCATTGTTCACCATTATGGCCGACTGTCACATTGAAGATGCCTATGAACTGTTGGTAGATCCACCAAAGAGAGATTTTTCTTTTAGACTGAGAGACTTTAATTTAAATAACATTTTAAGGCCCAAATATGTAGAAACATTTAATATTTTAAATGCAAAGATGAGCTAAAGTTCATATGTGAACACAAATGTACTTTTTCTTTTATTTCTTCCACACTTGTTGAATCACAACCTTTGGTGACCCTTTGTAGAGGAACAGCCCTCACTGTGGGAACTTGTCTTGGTCACACTTGCAGCCACAGAACAATGAAGGTTGGGTAGCCCTCACACCGACTTAGTTCTCTTACGTTGAAACACTTTTGACGCCCAGATCGCATGTAAGCAAACATGACAAAACATAATTTTTCATTTCAAACAACATAGTCATGATTTATTCAGAATTTGTACCTAACATTGAGTTCACTTTTGCGTGTTCAACATTATGTGTCGTGCTAATTGTTTTATTTTTTTTCCCACCAGTGCTGTGATATCCAGGCTTCTGCTGCTGCTGGGTTCACTTGGCTGCCTTCAAGCAAAACACAACACCAGGCTTAGATGCCAGAGCTCCAAATCAGACTTTGCCAAATGCTTTTGAGACTTTTTCTTGTCATTTTGTGGGTAAAATAAAACCCTTTTCCCCCAAATCCACTAGTCTTGTCTCGCAGCTCGGATCTTCACAGAACCCCTGGACTACACTTTTATGACAATAATATGCTGTTTGTTCTCTGATGCAACGTTCAAAGAACCCCTCCAGTGAAAATTATTGTTACCATTTTCAATTTTAATTTTTTTTTTACATGCTGGAAGACACAACATGAGTGAAATAAGTGGTTGATATGTTGTAGAGTATTTCCTCCTTTAACCTACAGTGCACTGATGTGTCATGTCTCGTACCAGGTGTTAGGTTTTCTTTAGTTTTTTGTCTTGTATTTGTGTTGTCTCGTGGCTTTTATTTTGAAACCTCTTTGCCCTCGTGTTTCAGGAAGCTTGCCCTCTCCCCGGTGTTTCCTGTGTCTGATTGTCTACCCAGCCCTGATTGTCTCCACCTGTTCCTCATTACCTTGTGTGTGTATATATATAGTCTGCGTCTCCCTTTGTCCTGTGCCAGTTCGTCTTGTCATTGAGTCAAGCTTCACGTTCTAGCCCTCTTCATGTCCAGGATTTCCCCGTTCATGTCCCTTGTGGAAACTACCTTCAGGTTTTGTATTTTGTTTGCTACTTTGTATTCAGCCTCTTTACTAGTCAAGTGTTTGAGTTGTTACTTTGTTTAGAAAGATTACGTTTTTCCTCATTGAGTGATTTTTAGTTTGTATTTCCTCATCGAGTGATTTTTTGGTTCTTTATTCTCGTTAGAGTGACGTTTGAGTTTTGTTTTTTTTTATTGTTGAATGATATTTCTGTTGATACTTTTGTAAATCAGTTTGAGAACGTTTTTGAGTCGTGCATTTGGGTTCGCTTTTTTGTTGATCTTGTCATGATGACATTCTCTAAAACATGGACTCAGAGTTCTGGGATTTCTTACATCACAAACTTAAGGAACCAATCCTGTTAACTTGCAGTTGTTTTTCTTTAGAACTGGTTTCAGCTTAAACATGTGGCTGAATCATTCATTTGCAGTTTGGCAGCACAGTGAGGTTTTACAGCATTTGAGCAGAGCTGTGGGTGAGCTGGTGTGCTTGAGCTGCAGCAGGTGAGGAAGTGTGGGCGTATACAACAACGTAGAGTTACACTGAAGCAATAAGGTGTTTATTTTTGTTGTTTTTAATTTTTGTAACTTTGATATACAGAGATGAGTTTTTAAGGGTTTATTTGATGAGAGAGGAACTTTAATAAAAGAAACATCAGCAGCGTGGGTAATTTCTGTACCACCATTTGGCATTGACCCGGTTTGGGGAATGGCCAACAACAAACTAACTTTCCTGAACTCGTACAAGATGAAGATGTCCGTCATCTTTGGGATTACTCACATGACTTTTGGAGTCACCTTGTCATTTTTCAACTATTGGCACTTTAGAAAGTTTAGCAGCGTGTTCTTTGTGCTGATCCCAGAGCTGTTCTTCATGGTGTCTCTGTTTGGCTACCTTGTGTTCATGGTGGTCTATAAGTGGATTGCCTGCACCAGTCCAAAATGGCTCCCAGTATACTTATCTACTTCATAGACATGTTCCTCTTCACAGAACATTTAACTAATGCTTCAATCTGAGTGCAGGATTTCTGATTTCGAGTACTCTTACACTGTAAGTATTCACTGAGAAACACAACCAATTTCTAAATACTGAGTCCGACAA